TCTTCGCGGCCATCAACCGCCGCCAGCGCGGGCCCTACATGGACGAGGCCTTCCACGTCCCCCAGGCGCAGGCCTACTGCCACGGCCGCTTCCTCCAGGTGCTGCGCGGGAGCCGTCCGGCTCGCGATGTCCAGTCAGATGATAGGTGATTTCTGTGGTGATGATCGTAGATGATTTCTATGAACACACCGTGGGCGCCTTGAAATTTGTGGTCGGTGCTGTCCAAGACGCCGCTGCCTGCTCGCGTTACACGGGGGTGCGGTAGCGCACCGGCCAGGGTACAGAGCGCGAGCGCTCAGAAACTTCTGTAATAACGCCTGAAACTCCCTGAACCTCCAGGCCAACGAGACGGGGCGTGGGTGGGAACGGCCGGTGGTGACATGTTGCCTGTGTCTGGTCCGTAACCCTCTGTCCCTCTCCACTTTCCAGTGGGACCCCATGATCACCACGCTGCCGGGCTTGTACCTGGTCTCGGTGGGAGTAGTGAAGCCCGCGGCATGGCTCTTCGGGTGGACGGGAAGCGTGGTGTGCTCTGTGGGAATGCTCAGGTTTATTAACCTCCTTTTCAGCGCTGGGAACTTCTATTTACTGTATTTACTTCTGCTCAAGATCCATCTGAAGAATAAGGTATGGTCAAAGTAGGATAATTTTATGCACTCATACGAGCAAGTTGGATGGCTCTGTATGTTGGCTTCACTACATAGGTGAGCTGTCCTCAGTTTTATATAACTGCAAGTGCCACTACCAGTTTGGCCAAGGAGGCACATTCCTTTTCTCTAAAAAAAAAAAAAAATAATCTTTTTTCTCTCTCAGGGCGCAATCCTCTAAAAATTTACTCTTGTGCATAACTGTAAGCAGTCCCATTGAAATAAAGTTAGTACATGTATAGACTTACTATCCAAAGGTCTGAATGCTCATCTAGCTAGAATTGCTTAAGACTCTCCACAGAACTTCAACCAGTGAATCCTGAGTGAAGCCCTGTGAGCCGCATTTAAAGTAAAAATCTTTAGAAAGATACCAGGTTTGATGTCAATATTTAGAACCAGAAAATAATTCAAGTTGGAAGGAATTGGAGAATGATTCAGGTTGGAAGGGACCTTAGGAGGTCCACCCTCCAGCTCAAGGCAAGCCAGCCCTGAGATCAGACCACATTGCTCAGGGTTGGGGCCTAGAAGGCTCTCCAAGGATGGAGAGTGACTGCACAACCTCTCTGGGCAACCTGCTCCATGCCTGACTGGCCTTACAGTGAAGAAGGTTTTTCTTACGTCCAGTCTGAACCTCTCATTTCAGTTTATGACTGTTGTTTCTTGTCCTCCCACCGTGTACCACTTATGACTGTTGTCTCTTTTTCTCCCACTGCGTACCACTGTGAGGAGCCTAGCTCCCTTTACCTGTTGACATCCCCACGTGTATTGGTAGGCTGCTGTTTGGTCCTCCCAAGCCATCAATTTTCCAGGCTGAACAAGGCCAGCTCCCTCAGCCTCTACTCTGGGGGCAGGTGCTTCAGCCCTCAACTGTCTTGGTGGCCCTTTGCCATTGGTCCTGCTTATTATTGCCTTTTTTTGTATCACAGGGCACAAAACTGGATGTGGTATTCTAGGCACAGCCTAACAAGTAGAGTAAAAAGGGATCATCATTTCTCTTGATCTGCTGCTATGTTCTTGCTAACGCAGCCCAGGAGACTGTTGCTGTTCCGTAGTGCCAGGGCGTGCTGCTGGCTCATGTTCACCTCACTGTCTGCCAAGACCCCCAGGTCCCTTTCCACAGAGCACCAGCTCCTCAGCTACTCTGTTCCGAGCCTGTATCATTGTGGGGATTTCTTCCTTTCCAGGTGCAGGCATTTGCATTTGTCCTTACTGAATTTCATAATATTTCTGTTGCGCCATTCCTCCATCCTGTCTAGGTCACTCTGGATGGCAACTTTGCTCTGTAGCATATTGCCTGGTCCCCCCCGTTTAGCGTCATCTACAGACTTGATGAGAGTGTACTCTCGCTGCCTTCAAGTCATCGATAATGATGTTAAACAGGACCAGTCCCAGTATAGATCCCTGTGGTATTCTGGTTGTTACACTCACCTTTGGATGGAGTGTGACCAGTTAACCATCCAGTCAGTTTTTACCTGTCTAGCTGTCCACCCATCCAGACCTTAACAGTTCGACTTGGATACACGAATATTCTATTTTTGAAGCGGTTCACCTTAGTGAAGTTCTTTAGTTTCCCTTTTAACCATAAGGACATTTTTTCCTGTTCCCAGGTAACTGAAGGATTCCTTTACTATAAAGAAAATTTCTTCTGATGTGTTTTCTTACAGGAGACTCTTATGTTTAACCACATGATAAGACTGTACAGAACTGGGTCAAATTCAATAAGTTGTTTCCACTTTTAGAACACTTTTAGTTTTATTCTTGCTGGTGGAAATATAAATATAAGAAAACAAAAGGTTTCATGACAGTATTCTAAGCATTAGAAAATATAGTTGTATTGTGGGCATTTCTTTTGACTCAGCATTTTCTCTATTCCCCTTTTCTGTAAGGTGGTGACTGGCTGTTTCACCCCATGCTACATCATTCAGAAACATCATTCATGCAACATTTTTTCATGTCATGAATTGCATTGCATCATGTAGTGAGTGGGATAATTGGGAGGAGTTTTTAACTGCATGGTCTCCTACCGTCTTTAGTGTTTCTTTTCTAACTCATGAATTATAATGAAGATAAACAATAAAAGCTGCACCAAGGATCAGAAACTTGGAACTGGCAGCTCTGTGGATTGGCTTTGAAAGAGGCAATAGTAAAAGCTTAGAATGATGTGTTCTGCTGTCTCACAAATAAACAGAATTTGATGATGAGATTGCAGGGGCATAAAACATTCGATTTTTTTTTTCTTTTGTCCATTAGTGCAGCTCTTTTATCCTAGATACGGGAGGGGAGCACTTATACTCCCACAATTATTTTAATGCCACAAATGTGTGAACACCTGACATATGAAAGAAGTTGGTGTATTTTCGTTGCTGTATTTTTAACTTATCTGCAATAATGTTCGTGCTTTCATTTGTCTTTCAACATTGTATAGTCTGACACTCTGAGCAGGAGGTTAACAAAAATACAGCATGTGTGCTTGTGCAGTAATGGAACCAAAGAGCGTAAGAGGTGTTATATTGTGTTAATGGAATTCTCAAAAATGATACTCTTTATTTGTTTTTTTTTATTATTTTATTTTTATTGGATATTGCTAACCCCATTTTTCTGCTTCTTCTCTAGGCTGTGTCTGCTTTCCAGAGAATCTTGTCTACATTAACTCTTGCAGTGTTTCCCACCCTTTATTTTTTTACATTCCTTTATTATACGGACCCAGGATCAGTATTTTTTACTCTTTTTGCCTATTTAATGTGCCTTGATGGTAACCATAAAACTTCAGCTCTTCTTGGATTTTGTGGCTTCATGTTTCGTCAGACGAATATTGTGTGGACAGTTTTTTGTGCTGGAAATGTTGTTGCAGGGAAGCTAAATGAAGCCTGGAAGACAGAGTTACAGAAAAAGAAAGATGAAAAGATTTCTTCCAAGAAAGGATCATTTTCAGATTTGATTAGAATATTGCAGTTTCTTATTAAATATTTCATATCGCCTAAAAACTTAGTTACACTTACTGCTTTAACTTGGCCATACATTATATTAGTGACTGTGTTCTTTGTTTTTGTCTTCATCAATGGTGGAATAGTTGTTGGTGACAGAAGTAGCCACGAAGCCTGTTTGCACTTTCCTCAGCTGTTCTATTTTCTGTCCTTTACTGTCTTTTTCTCATTCCCTCATTTATTGACCCCTGCTAAAATCAGGAAGTTCCTTCTGTCATTACGAAAGCACCCTGTGCAGTACAGCTTAATCGCCGTCGTCTCTTTATTCCTGATCTGGAAATATACCTATGTTCATAAGTATTTACTAGCGGATAACAGACATTACACATTCTATGTCTGGAGAAAAGTCTTCCAAAGACACGAGCTTGTAAAATATGTCTTAGTTCCAATCTATATATTTGCTGGTTGGAGTGTTGCTGATACACTAAAATCAAAATCGATATTCTGGATCTTAATGTATTTTGTATGTTTATTAGCAGTCACGGTTCCTCAAAAATTGCTAGAATTCCGTTACTTTATTTTGCCATTCTTAATTTATAGGCTCAATATTCCATTTCCATCTCTATATAGACAGCTTCTGGAGCTGGCTTTTTATATTGTTGTGAATGCAGTAACTTTTTATTTTTTTCTAAACAGAACATTCCAATGGCCAAATAGTGACGAAATCCAGAGGTTTATGTGGTGACTTTCTCTCTTTTTTTTTTTTTTTTTTTTTTTTCCTGATACTTTCATACCCTTAGGAAAACCCAGTTCTGTTTCAGGACTGTGGACTGTGGAATGAAGCAATATGTTTTGCATTATGTGAGGACTTTTCTCCCCAGCTGGAATTGGGGAAGTAAGCTTTTGCTTATTTCTTGGAACTGAATGTGAGATCTGATTTGTTGTAATGTGAAGATACTCCGTATATTGAATTTATGAACTCCTGGAATTAACAAATTCAATATGAAGGGAAATTTGAGAACGCCTTTCTGTAATTAATGTGAAATAAGGGAGATGTTTACAGTCATTTTTTCATTATAATAAAACATTATATAATATGCCCTTGAAGGTATGACGGTTTGTGTTTCAGAGGTTTCTATGTAAAGTATTTAAGTGTTTAACCTTTTTGTTACCTCTGGGTGTATATTTACTCCTTGGATCAGGCCACTGCCATCTAGGTTTGCTAGCGGTCGAGGTATGAACCACTGCTAAAGTATAATGTTTTCAAAACCTCCTACATCCCACTGACTTTTGTGGTTTTTTGTCAATAAATGCTTACTTTAGTTTTGCAAACAGAATGTAGGCTCTTAAATCATTATAGCATTTTGAAAATCTTATTTCAAACTGATATTTAGAAAATATAGTGGAGGCT